TTAAAAGATGTGTAGACATGGTGCTCGAGGACATGGTTTAGTGGTGGACTTGGCAGTGCTAGGTTAATGGTTGGACTCGATGATCTTAAAGGTCTTTTCCAACCTAAACGATTCTATGATTCTATTCTATGATTCCATGAGTAAGTGGAGAAATAGCTTCACATTATGTCTAATACGTATAAAAAAGGTGACTTTTGTCCCAAGCCATCACTGGCTAATAGGCAAAAGTTCTGAGTAACTATACCAAAATCCTGTTTTCCTCTGTCTGTCATCTGGACAGTAGGAGTCGTGATTTCCAGTAGCCACATGCAAAATCTGGTGGTGTCTTAGGCTATACTTTAACACACTTTAAGATGTGTTGGGGATAACTGCTTTAATAGTAAGTGTAGCCTAAATCTCCAGGGTGTGGCAGCAGGGAGGGAGATGATGTTTGCTTCAAGGCAATCTGGATTTCAAGACAAGTTTGGTCTTGGCATGAAGCCATGCTCCAACTATTGGTTCTCTAGCTTTGCTGATTTCTTAACGAGTCCTTCTAAACATCCTGCCTTTCGCTTTATACTCTTCCTTAGAACATGACAACAGCATAGCAGACTGAATATGTAAATAAAGCATTTAATATTACCAGGAAGCAAAGGGATTCAAGGACCCCAAGGATTCCCAGGACTCCCAGGAACACAAGGCCCAATGGGAATCTCTGGTGTAAAAGGTGAAGAAGGAAAAATGGGTCCACCTGGGCCTCGTGGAGAATGTGGGGATATGGGAAGAAAAGGTTTGTAAAAATCCACTTCACTCTGTAGTTATGTTACTGCTATGTTTAGTTTTGTTACTACAGTGTTAGGAATATATTTACTTTTTCTTCTTGTTATAAGGGTATATTCACTTCTGTTTTCAGAGATGCTAAATCCAGTTATCTCACTTACAAATGCACAATGAAAAATCACTAAAGAAAAATTAGTTCCACTCAGATCAATAGATGCATTTACTACTAAATCAGAGTAAGATCACCTATTCAAACAAACCTTGAATTTTGTCCTGTACACATCTGAAACTTTATATTTTTCAAGTTTTCTGTCATATTGTCTGTATTCTTCAATCTATGTAAAGCATAGAGGAAATAAATATTAATATAGGAAAGAGAATAAGCATCTCCAAGGTGCAATCACAGACAGTACACTATGGAGTGGACAATACAATTGCCATCTTTCATATTCCAGACAAGCAGGGAATAATTCTGATTTAGCACCACCTGGGTTACTACTGAATTAACTAAAAAGCAAGAGAAGGATAGTAAATTCTGTTAACAGTGAGCCTGCTGAAGCAACTGAGAACTGCATTAGTATTTGAAGGCTTTCTCCGTTAGGGAAGTCTTCACTAAAATGAATTTTCAGGACATGTCACTCATGAGGATTTACTTACATTCCATATGTTTGGTTCAAAGGTGAAAGAGGGCCTCCAGGAGACAGTGGCTGCGTTAACATCCGTCTTGAGAAAGGACAAAAGGGGGAACCAGGGTTTCCTGGTGAGAACGGCTTTAGAGGTGAAAGAGGTAAGTTCATAAAATAAAGCCCTGCATACACACAACATTCATCTGATATAAATCACTGGTGTTTTTCACAGGTTTGGACTCATAGCTGCAGTAACATCCAGCAACCTTATTGTGTTTATAGATTCTTAAACTAGCAGGCTAGTTTCTTTAGACAATTACTAAGGCAATATAAGAAGTGTGAAAGCATAGCCATATTCAAAATAAGTGTCAAATAATGGCTTGACTATAGTGGTTATTATCTCATTCTGCAATTAACTTCAGGTGAAAAAGGCAATACTGGTTTCAGAGGCACCCCAGGATTTCCAGGGAAAAATGGTGTCCCAGGACTGCCAGGTGACCATGGTGACACTGGACTGATGGGCTTTCCAGGATCACGGGGTTTTCCAGGACCAAAGGGCTTTAAAGGAATTACGGGTTTTCAAGGACAACCAGGTGACCAGGTAAACAAAATGGTAGTGAAATGTCCGGGACTTTGCAGTTATCTCCTGCCTCCAAGAAGTATGATGAAGGGTACTTCTATTGTACATTAGATGTTTCCCTGAGAAGAGACTGTCAGTAGAATAGGAAAGGTAAATTCCTTAATGCAACACTTCAATGCTTTGATTACATTTTAGCAGGAACTGTAGTCAGAGTCAACAAAGGGCCACTCCCCTCTCTCCTAGCTGCATGTTGTGATTTTATTATATTGCCACTTGGTGGAAGTCCAGGCTACACTGCACTAATTAGAGGGGCAAAAAATGGATGCACAATCAAGTCTAACATTATTCCTGAGAACAGATTGACGTATCGCTTACTGCAGAGATCATAACATAGCAGCAGCACAAGTATGACATTAATATATAACTGCTTCTTCATATCTTGCTATGTGGAGCAGCCTGGCCAGTAGACAAGACAAATCAAGTCTTCTGTGCTCATACCAACAACTTGCACCAAACAGAACCCAGGCAAGCAATATTGCTCAAGAACAAATATACAAAACCACACATATATCACATATGGATATAAGATAAAATTCTTCGCTGGCTTGTATGCTAGGTAGACAGGCAGTGAGATTACATGAAGCATAAAGTACAGTTGTTTTTTGGTAAAGGAAGGGGTATAGCTTTGCTTGGCTTGTCTTCTATTATATTTCTTTGAAGAGATAATCTGTGTTTTGCTGATTATAGGTCATTATTCAAAAGGAAAAAATAGAGAAATCCTTACATTTTTACTGTTACATCACAGCATGTTTCTGGTTAATGTTTATAGTAAATTTTGGGTAACATACAACAATATTTGGTACATTTTTATGGTACCTTTTAAATCACTCAAGCCATCTGTGGGGAATTTAAGCTGTTCAAGCCAAGAGTTAGCATAAACTATAAAAGCACAAATTCAAAATGATTAGCAAGTCTAATCTACAGTTTCTTGGAAGTGTTAGTGGTCACTGTTAGACGTGTAACAAAGACAGCATGCTTTTCTGTTGAGCTTAAGATACAGTTTTGCTGCTCATATTGATTGCTGGTCCATTTACCAGTGTAAGAGAACCAAATGCTCTTATAGATCATTCCTGCTACACATATCATGTCAAACATTTTTATTTTGTTCTTAAAAAAATCAGGGTGACGTTGGCTTACCAGGAATCCCTGGAAATCCAGGACTGACTGGCCCAAAAGGATCTAAAGGTAATGAGTTTACATAGACGTGCTTTTGAAAAGAGCAATATTATTAGGATGTATATGCTCTCATAGATGGGGAGTACTCATTAGAAAAGGGAAAACAGGACATAAGTGAAAATAATTAAAACACAAATGTCATTAGAAACAAGTCTGACTTACCTGAAGGCAAAATTTGCATTTCAGTATATTCTCTAACAGTTTGTTCCTTTTAAAGTAGATCTTACTAATTTAGAAGATAAATTTTTGTCAAATTTCATAGTTTTAAAAGTCCATCAAACACATGTAAAAATCCACTCTTACGGATCTGTAAAATTTGTCAAATCAAATAAAAGAAAATGCAGTCATTTATGGTATTATGCTATGGTACTATGCAGATATGCAGAATTTTTGAAATATTCCAACGCGATTTATAATTTCTTTTATATCACTTTATTTTCCAGTGCTTTCTAGGCTATGATTTTTGAATTTTTGGAACTTCTGAAAGTGTAGCATAACAAATCAGGCAGAGTTCATACCCATGCATGCAAAATTATTCAGTTGAAAAGATGAAGTTTTGCATGTTGTTTTTTGCATAGGTAGAAATTACTCTGAAAAAATTATCTATAATACTTAGATTTTAAAAAATATTTCAAAGAAGTACAAAATGGTGTCATCCATCATATTCCAAATTTCCTTGGAGCAGGATTTCATTACTAATAAGTAACAAATCATTGCCTGGAAAAAAGCATTAAGGGAACGGGAGAAATTCTTCTCTCAGTTCCATTTCTTCAAAAATTCAAGACCTTCTCAGCCAGGGAATATATTCCCACCAAAAAAAAAAAAAAAACAGTAAAGAACAATACTCAACATAAAGAGAAGTTTTATGGCATGTATTGAAAACAAATTTACTGGAAAAGTTATCCTTAAAACTAAAGCAGGAAATAGCCAGTAAAGGTGGGGATTGCTATGGCAAGGGATTTCTAGCAACACTTGAACTTGATATTTCCTCTTAACTCTTCACAGCAAAATCAGACAATGAAACTGGAGACAGCATGAATAGGTAGGAGAGGTCAGACATTTGTACAGACAATGTAAGTCAAAATTGGTTGGAATTATTGAATCTGCAATAAACAGGAATTTCAGCACAGACAGAAAGAAGAAGGTGTGCTGGTTTGAAGTCCCCAGCTAGTCCATAAAAGGTCTTTACTGAGTAAATAGACTCATGCTGTACTATTGATTTTGCACATTCTCACAAACCTATGTAAGGAGTTCTCTTTATTTAATAAAGGGTTATAGGAAATTTATGCAATATCTTTCATTTTCAGTATTGGGAAAGTTCCCATAATTTTGGGGTTTTTTTCATTATGGGAAATTTACATGAATACTGCCAGGAGTCATACTAAACACAGACTGAGTTAGTACTTCAAGACAAGCTGAGCTGGCAGATAATTTGCACGTGCCAAAGCATTTTTCATTCTGTGTTCTCTCAGTCCCTTTTATAGCTGTTAATATTTATAAGTAAATCATCTGACCTTACAAAATTGCCCAGCTTTGGTTTTGTGGATGAAAAGGATACTTGTATGAAATGAAAGTCATTGTACCTCCACAGGCAGGAGAGGTGACCCAACTCCTCTGCTTGGTGCACATGGTCGAAAAGGGCCTCCTGGAGATCCAGGATTACCAGGTACCTCTGTCTGATTGAAGAAAAAATTCAACTTAAGAACTTATTTTCTCTAAGTTTTGTTAGCAGAGAGGGAGCTCTGCTTCCTGTGCATATTGAGCGGTATTTTCTATAGTTATAAACCCAGGGACTGGAGAGGCATCACAATGTGCAATATGGCTAGCATGAACATAGGAGGTAGAATCTACTGTTGTCTAGTACAGCACCGATGAACATACCAATACTTACCAGAATAAAACCTGGCTTGGCTATATCTTGCTAGACATTTCTGCTCTTTCAGATATCACCAGAGAGATCAGTGTAATTCATTGCTAATAAATAGATGCAAGGATCTGAAGTATTTGAATAGAATTATTTTTCTAGTCAAGAAACCCCTTACGGAACTTCTATATTTTTAAACTTAGCATGAGATGAAGAATGGGAAACTTTAAACAAATAAATGCTAGAATTTTTTTTTCTTTAAGGACTCTGTGGATTCCCAGGAGAGAAGGGTTCACCAGGTATCCAAGGGCAACCAGGAAGACCAGGATCCAAGGGCGACCCTGGATACCCAGGAATACCTGGATTTCCAGGTAATGCCAAAGTTTAAAAAATAGTGCCATGTAACAGATCAAAAGAGATATGAAACAGGAGAACACAACTGAGGAGGCACCTTTGCGGAGGAGACTAGAGAAATCAGAGGTTGTATCAAGGCATGTACTGAAAGGTATTTCAGTACCTATAGACAGCAGCAATAGTCTGCTCAGAGTCTCAGAGAGCAAGATCTGTCAGTTCTTCATACATTCCCATACACTTTCAGGTACCTCTGATTAACGCAGTGTGCTGCATAGCATGACAAAAAACCCCAACAGTTTAATAGATCTGCATATTCACAGATTATTTTTTTTCCACTTTCAGGAGCTACAGGTCCTCAGGGATTGCCAGGAGAACCTGGAGAAAAAGGGAAACGTGGAATTTTGGGACCTCCAGGATTGCAAGGATTAGCTGGATCCCAAGGCAGAAAAGGTAAACAGCATACAGCGCAGTTCTACTGGTGATGGAACAGCACCAGACATAAATACCGTTTTAGTAGTGAAAATGGAAAAGGCCTAACTGTGAGCATGATTTTGATTCTGTATTCTATTAAAGTACTAGAAGAATTAAACGAGTTCCCATCACCTTTGAAAAGTAGCATAAATGCTCCCTCAGAAAATTGGGCTACAATCTAGAATGAGTAACGAAGAAGGTAGAAACAGATTCTGGCTCAGCTGATGTAACTGATAGCAGAAGTTAATGAAAGAAAAAGGAGTTTGCAGCAATTCAGATATTTCACTTACGCTTCAATTATGCTGTGTTCTCTCTTTTCACCATGGAGTGCCACTGTTACTCTACAAAACCAGCAGACTGCTACGGCCAGTTTTGTCTTACAAATTTGTTTTAACAAATTGTGATAAGATAACTTGGGTTGGTTTTTGTTGTTGGTTTTGTTGTGGTTTTGTTGTCTCCAAAACCTGATTTTTGGTGGATTTAAGATGGAAATGTTTCCTCCAAATCCTAATTTACACTTCTCTCAATGATTGTTATGTTTAGATTGAACAGCAGTTCATCTATGCAGTTGTTTTTATTGGAGAACATTATTAACTTTTACTATACTCAGAATGATATATTGAAATTGTAAGTTACATTAATACTTCATAAAGAAAGGTAATCAACTATATACTTCGTATCCTCTCTCTGTTATAGCGTGCTTCATAACCAGTTCCTGGACAGGAAGAATAATATTAGCGACCCATATACAGAAATCACAGTAAAGTAACACTTGGGGCTATGATAAATGGTTAGAGAGGACAATAAATTCACTTTTTCAAATTCAGCCTAAGGAAAAATTTAGATGGTTTCTTGTAAACTACTGAAAATTTAAATGAAAAATTGAAACCATTTATGATTGCTTGCAGTAAATAAGTTGTGCTGATTTAAACTGTCATGACAGAGTCCTTGCTCGTGCATAATCTGCAAGAGAACATTTCATTGTTGCAAACAATATTTCCTGTAACAAAGGCAGAGATTTGCAGTGACAGGGATGTCTAAATTGAGAGGGGTCAAAAAAAGAAAAAAAGGCATTCTTCTGCTGAAAACTTCTTAGTAGCAGATGGACTCTTTCCTTCTTGTCATAAATGGTAAGACACTTCTTTTCTATATTTTGCAGAAGTTATCCCACGTCCTTCACAGGAAGTGTAAGGAATTAACACACATACTGCAGAGGGAAAGTTCAGCTCCAAATGGCAATTAATTAGAGACCAAGTTGCCGGCTAAGCCTTAGGATTCTATATATTGCCAGCATAGTTGAAAAGAAGGTTAACACCTTTGAAATTATACCCACTAATGAATACTGAATGGAATTTGTATTCCAATTGAAGTGGAGAATATAGATCTTAACACTATTTTCAACAAATATTGTTGCTAGCATTAGAAATGAAATAGTTAATTGGCTGTTTATAGCTAAGTACACGGCCTTGTTAGTCTAATTGCTTCTCATTTACATTAAACGTCTTGTGCCTGAAGAACTTTTAGATTAAAAAAAAAAAAAAATCAGTTAAACAGCATCTACCAAAGCATAATCACATTTTCTTTTTTACAGAGATAGTTTTACTAGTTAAGGGCTTAGTCTGGCAAGCCGTACTTGTGTGAGTAATCGGTGATGAAGCAAGTAATATTAAGAACATCAGCAGAATTACTTGTGTGAGTAGAAGCTGAATTGGGCTGTAAAATACAGAAACAGTGGTTCATACATAGGTCAGCCAATTCAGCTGTACCTAGAAATATGGGACTATAGCAATCCAAAAATCTAGAATTACAAGTGGTGATATTATAATGGATTGTTGGCAAATGTGTCAGAAATTCCCTGGAAAGCCAGTAAACCAAGCCATCAATCTTGACTGAATGAGCTAAAGATCAAAAAAGTTCTAAGTGGTGACCTGGGTGTCAAAAATAGTTAGGAGTTCATAGTAATTTTAAAATAATACCACTGTTAAATTCCCCAAATTGGCATGCAACTCTTACATAAATTTGAAAATGGGAACATGCTGAGAGCACAAGCAGGCTACAGAAAGCAGGACTGAAACTTAGAATGTCATGAAAAGTTAAAGAGCAGTTAATTAAGTGCATAGCAGATATTACAGGTTGTATTACTAGTATCCTGTACTATAGAGGGGATTACATAGAGAGTACATTATCAGTCTTGCAGGTTTTCAAACAATCTTCTGGATTTAAAATTTTTCCAGACCAGTGTTTGCTACAGGCTGGATTTTTTTTTTCCTTTCTTTTCATTCCTTTGTTAAATTTTAACTAAAATAATTCAACAGTTTCTGAGAACAAAGCTATGGGATTATTTTTGGTGTGTCTGTTAGAGAACTCTAGTGCCCTTTTATTTTTCCTTTCTCAGATGAGCCATCTTTGAACTAGGGACCTTTAAATTTGGCAGGTGAAGCAGTAGACGAAGGGCATTTGTGTTGCTGTCCCTACAGCAATTTGTCCCTGCCAAATTTGACCAGCTTAGAAACTTTAAAAAAATATATCCATTTATATGTGCTTAAGTAGAGCAATAAATTCTCCCATGATTCATGCTCTGGATATACAGCAGATTTGTGGGCTGCAGGATATGCTGGGATCAAGCACAGGAACTGAAACAGAGAACAGGAAGCATCCTAAGTCTATTCATCTGTCTGAAACCTCTTTGAAACCTGTCACCAAATGACCCATCAGTTTTGCCAGATTTGTTCCTATCGTGAGGTGATAGGCTGCCGTCTGCATTTAATAAGTGTATGTCTTCACATTTGATGCTTCATCTATACAACGTAGGAAACTATGAAGTGCTAATGACATGGAGATATTTTTACACTCCACTGCAAACAACAAACACAATCTCAGATTAGTTCAAATTTTTAAAAAATTGATAAAAAAATGCCATCTATGTTTTTACTTATTGTGTCTTAGCAATTTTCAAAAAAGCACAGATTATAAAGCAAACGTTATATATATATCTGACTACCATGAACACTTCCCCTGTGATCTGGTCATCTAGTGAACATCACTAGTTATAAAGCTGCTTTATACTATCACATGTCAGCATAAGTCTCAATTACAGATTTGTTGTTGTCTTCAAAGACTTTGTGCTGTCCAGTTTAAAGAATTTTTGTAGTAGTGTGATGCAAAAAAGCACAGTTTTCTGTGTGAAATCTGCAGGACCAGGGAAAAGAAGCCAGGTGAACATTTATTTCTTTCTAGTGCAGCTAGGTTAAATTGCCCTTACATTTGCAACAGAAGCTGTGAAGAAGTTCCAGCTTTACAGTTATTTTAGGTGGTGTCTGCATCCCAGTCACGTGGTCATGTAGTGATAACGCAGCTAACTTTGGACTAGTTGATCACATGTAGCAGTAGTAGTCTAGCCACAGACACGAGGTTCTCTATAGAGTAAATTAGCCCATACTGAGCTTCCTGCTGCTAGCTGCAGTATAGAAATACCTAAAGGATTAAAAGGTATGTTTTCTGATTGCTTTGATGTGAAACTGCATTATGATTGCTATTTTCAGATTTCTTATGTTTTCCTTTCCCAAAAGACTGCACTCAGGTGCAATGTGATCATGTCTTCAGTTGCCAATAAGAATCAAATTCAGCAAGTACCCTATCCTGAGCCAGAATGTGTTGTCAGAAAAAAAACAGCATAATTTTTAATTGTGACTTTAAAGGATTATTGTGGCACCCAGTCATGCCTGTAATACCTCTCAGGTCTTCCTGGACTGCCCGGACTGGATGGCTTGGATGGACTAAAAGGTCAAAAAGGTTCTGCAGGAGCTGCAGGTAAAGGAGGGAAATAGCTACGTGGAACAAAGTCTTCTCTTAAATGACTGAATGTGCAAGGAATGATGCACGTTATTTTGGTATTTGCCTTGCCCAGAAGATATCATTAAGGCTCAGACTAAACTTTCAAACAGAATCTGAAGTATGCCTAATGACTCACCTGCAGTTATTTGTGGGGAAAACTTTAAAACCTCCATTACTCAAATAGTTTTGTTGGAACCTTTCAAGGCTGTTTATAAAATGAAAATGTTCAGCGCAGATGATTCAAAGTAGAGCCAAGTCTTCAGGTTTTTTATATGTAAAAGATAAAACTAACAAATTAAAAGGAGACTTATGAAATCCCAGCCCCATTAAAGTCCATAGGATTGTGCCACAAACTTAAGAGGAACCTGGATTTCACTCACGCTGATCTATTTGCAACTTTCAAAAGGTGCTTTTGAAGCAGTATTAAAAAACAGTGCTCACCATCTATCTAGAGATTACAAATTTATGCTGATAGAAAATTAAATTTAGGACCGTGCAATCAGTTTACATTTCAAGTTACAGACAATAAAGACACCATATACAATAACCCCTGAAGAAAAAAAGCAAAGAGATGACTTTCTTTGAAAGAGATGAATTAGGGCCAGATTCAACAAAACTCTATCCAGCTTCCAAGAGAGAACCAGAAAAATAGCACTAGGCAACCCTTGCAAGGAGGAACATCTGCAGCTGGTATTTCTATTCTGCACATCTGTATTTGTACTCACTGTAAGCTTTATGTACATAATTGTTTTCCTATAAAGGTCAAAGTGAAACAGGGCCCCCAGGATACTTGGGAGAACTTGGACCAGAAGGAGACAGAGGTGAACCTGGATGGCCTGGTATTTCTATTCCAGGCCCCCCTGGAGAAAGGGGATTCCCAGGATTCCCAGGTAAGAAAGGATTTTCTCCTTAGTGGTGCCCTGCAGAGTTGAAATGAAGTTCATACAGGCTCTTCCCCTGGTTAATATGAACATTAATACATACCCAGAAGATTCCCTCCTTAAAAACATTTCTGTTGCAATAACATGACGATGTTTCCTGAGTAGATACAGAGACCCCAGTATTTCTTGTTTATTATGTTACAGGAGAGGAAAGAATGAGAACAGAAAATGATGGACTTGGACAGACTCAGGGAACTGCTAGGTGGAGCTGCCTCTTGGGAAGAAATTCCTGAAGAAAAAGAGTGCAGGAGATCTGGTAGTCACAGAAATATAGTAAATCTGTCAACTATTCTGATGTAAATGCAAGATGGAACTGTATCACAAGATTGCTATGATAATATTTAAGAGCCTCGGTGATACAGGAATTGCATAGAAATAGGAAAAAGCAAATGTTTGAGGAAAGGCCACTAAGAAGGTTAAGAGATTGGAGCATCTGTCAATGAGGAGAGGCTGAGGGAGCAGGAATTGTTTAGCCTCCAGGAGAGAAGGCTCAGGGGGGATTTTATCAATGTGTATAAGCACCTGATGGGAAGGACACGGAGACAAGATTCTTCATAGTGGTATCGAGTGACAGGGCAAGAGGCAATGGGCACAAACTGACATACAGGAAATTCTACTTAAATATAAGGAAAAGTTTTGGTTTTGCTGTGAGGATAATTGAATACATGAACAGGTTGCCCAGAGAAGTTATGAAGTGTCTGTCCTTGGAGATACTCAAAACCTAGCTGGACAGAGTCTTAGGCAACCCGCTGTAGCTGACCCTGCTTTGAGGAGAGGGTTGGACTAGGAAGTCTCCAGAGGCTCATTCAGGCCTCAGCAATTCTGTGATCAGAAGTGACATTAGCTTTACCAAACCTTGCCACAATGTCACATAACACAGAGAAGAAAAATAGTGGAGGTGAATTCTGGTGGCGTGAATTATTCTACAATGAAGACGCAGTCATTTTTCTCAATTCAGTTACTAGTTAGTGAATGTCAACAGAATGGTGCTGTTGAGGAAAAAAGAGAAAAAGTTTAATTCTAAGATGTATTAATGCTGCTTGACATAGGATGGGCAAGGCCTCCCATGGTATACTGTGTCCAGCTTTGACAAATTAGGGAGAACTCCCTAGAGAGTAAATGGAAGGATGGGGTCGAAAACAAGACTGAAGAAACTAGATTTGTTTTTTTTGTGAAAAAGAGAAGGCAACAAAGTGCAACACGTGTGCTAACAAGCTGCGACTATTCAAAAGTGTTAATGCAGAGGATGGTAACCCCTAACCCTTCCTGCCTGTCACATGTAAGGGCACTAACATCTTATTTAGCAAAAATCCAGATTAAGATTTTTTTTTATTAGGAAAAAAATACATTTAAGACTAGCAAGCTCATCTTGTTCATTGAGGTTTTTAGGAAATGGCTGAACTCACTTTTGCTAGGAACAATCTGTGAATACTTATCCTGTCCCAGGCAGAATGATTTCATAGTCCCCACTCGTCTTGCATTTTTACCATTTCTCCCATTGTTAGAATTCAGGAGAAGGCGGCTATTTGTGGCAATATGCCAATGTGTGATGATGCACTCTTTAGTTTAAGTAGATTTTATGGCAAGAATTAAAAAATTTAAAAAGATAACAAATATTTTTACTTCTACAAGATGTCTTCATTAGCCTAATCACTGGTATGTTCAATATACAAGTGAGAGCATACATTACCTCCATGACTTCACATGTCAGCATTCTTTTCGTTAGTAACTTATTTCTATAATCTAAAAAAAGCCTCAGGTTTTTTTTTTCTTTCCTTTTTTTTTTTTTTTTTTAATGTGATCCCTTAGGTAGAAGAGGACCTGTTGGACCCACTGGACCTATGGGAAGATCTCCTGATAGTGCTTCTCCTGGTCCTCCAGGTGATCAAGGACCACCTGGTTTAGATGGCATCAGAGGTATTAAAACCAAAAATACCAAATTTGATCATGTAAAAAGCCCCTGAGGCTACTATGAGTCACTGGCTTTCCATCTGTGGAACAATGTATAAAAGTGCACAGGAAACAAAGAAACCAACGAATACCTCAGCGAATACACAGAGAAGTGAACACTGGATAGATCACAAGAGCAAAGATAAAATACAGATCTCCAGATTCAGTTTTCTGGCCTGTATAGTAATTCTGTACAAGTCCTGCTGCTACAACGTATCTCGATTTCCACAGAAGCAAATAGAAATAAGATTACTGACCTGTCTTCCTGGCAAGAAGGATAAAACACATTGTCTGGAAGCCTGTCATTGTTAGTAAACCCACAGAAAGCTTTCCAATCTAAATCCAGTCCTGGGAAAGCTAAAGCTGGCAACTCTTTTGTAAGCATTTATATAGACCTCACTTCTGTTACAAGCAGGGGTTGCCAAGGGATCCAATCAATTCCTATAGATTCTGGTCCTCAAATGGAGCTCTTTCAAGTTGTTATGATCCCTTACATGAAGTATTATCTGAACCCTTCCTTACCCAGTACGAAGACTTCCTTCCTGTTGGGAAACGAGATGGAGATTGGAAGGGTAAGCCACACTATAATAAATATAGAGAAGGAGTGTCTCAGTGCACGTAACATTAACTTGCCACCTTTTGCTTGCACAAAATCTACATAGTTTTGGGAGCTATTCCTATTATTGCCTTCCTTACAATGCCTTGGACAAAGGCTAATGCTGATATTTCCAAAAATATGCAAGGGCTGTCCTAGGTCCCAGGGAAAAAACCCAAAAGCAAAAAACACAATGGAACATGGCTATTTTTGGATGTTTATACTTCGTGCATATATTAAGAATGAAGTTCTTTTACCATAGGTCAGCCTGGGAATCCTGGTCCTCCTGGAGAGACTATCTTTGTACGAGGAGATCCAGGTGATACCGGTATTCGAGGGGCACCAGGTAATCCTGGGCAGCGAGGGCAACAAGGAGCCAGAGGTCTTCCAGGGAACCAAGGAAGAAGAGGCCCAAAGGGTATGATCTGAGATGTTTTTAACTCGCGTGTGCACTTGTGCCCAGCCCTCTGCAAGTGAGCCTTGGGCACAGGGGATTGCCATTGGAGGCTGAGCCAGGCAGGAGAGGTAGGCTGGACATTTTGTAGCTCTGCCTTGTTACCTACAGATTACATAGGGCTGGGGTAGAAGGTCAGAGTAGAGCCAGATTCACATATACTGCTTCCAACAACTTGTTGGATGACTCCCCTACCAACCTGAGAATGAGGCAGTAAAACTTTTGAGTCTGCCAGATAAAGCAAACCTTGACCTCTCTGCAGGGGTCATGAGAAACTACAGAAGATGCAGATGTGTTTGAACTAACACAGAGTCTCACATCTGCGCCGTATCAATAGCTTTGGGCTTTCAACAGATTTTTTAGTTTGAAAACAGGAATCTAGATACTCTGCTTCTTCCACACACTGTGTGTGTCTATACCAATCCCTTCCAATCTCTACAAAAAGAAAAGTCATAAATTTTAAGTCAGTTCAAGACCAGGGAGAGAAGAGGAAAATGTGCATTTCTTTCTGGGAGACAGCAGAGTTGAGCTGTCCCAAGCATTTTTTGTTACTCAAGCAGCCAGACTTCATCTTATTTATGTGTTCACCTTCTTGGAATGCAACCACATGTAACTGCACAACTGCTTGCTTTCCAGGTCCTATGGGAATCCATGGACCACAAGGTCCACCTGGTGCTATAGGACAACCGGGAGACCAAGGTTTTCCGGGAAAACCTGGTCCCAGAGGTCCCACAGGTACTTACGAACCTGTTGCTCATTGTCACTCAATTTTAACTGTAATCTTTCTGTTCATATATAATCTTACTAACGTTTACTTGCATACAGACAACTTAAACAATCTCAGAAAAAAACCCAACTTGATTTCTCATTTGACGCGTAAAAATTTCTGAACTATGTATTTGTTTCTAATGTCACCTCATGTAAGTGATTTCAGTTCTCATTCCATTCTTTACTCTAATTTACATGCCTGAAACTTGTTTCTACCTGCACCACAATGGCCGCAATCTGCTTTCCTTCCTGAAATCCTTCAGGTTTCATAGGTAGGTTCATGACTATTGATTAGTGTTCTTTTCATGTGGGCTTCCTTCTGCATAGATACATTGCACTCTTACTAGAAGGTATTCTTGGCTTGGCTGGTAGGAACAGTAGATACCGCTACAACAACATAGTTCTAATAGATTTTTCACATAAATAGCTAGCACTTCCAAGCAGACAGATATCATGATAATGCTACATTGAGAAGTCTCATGCTATGACGTCAGACCTGTAAAACACACTTGTTTCAAATTATCATTTTGGTTTTTGTTGTCACACAAGATGCTTTCTAACCAAAAACTTAGCAAAAGCTTGAATCCTAACACTGGATTACTACAAACACTGAACTCTTAATCTGACTAAATTGATCCGATTCTGATTTTGTTCCAAAATGCAAATAGCCAATAGCTCCCAGTAACTTTCAATACATAAAATGTGGCCATTCTTTATTTTTTATTATTATAATTCTTTTAAATGGATATTGTGGGTTAGCTTCTTTGGCCTGCTTATTGATGGTTTTGCAGCTACAGAATAGGCAAAGTACTGTACGTCTTCACATGTGCTAAGGTGTTTGCACTGAAGCTCGGTAGACTTTAGGCTTTAACTTAAATCAGTTTGGGGCATATTAAGACAGAAACTGTACACCAAATATTTGAAACATATCAGCTAGCATATACTTGCTAACACATGCTTGCCATGCTGTTAAATGCTGTGCTAAAAGACCAAGAGTAAAATGAAAAGCAGTAAGACTCAATAATTCAAGATTTTAAAATACTTAAAGTATACACTTGAATAGCAAAACCAGCTAACAGTTATGTTGATTTTTCCCATGGGAGCTATTAGCCAATCTTCTGTCTAATTTACTTTCCTGTTACACATTCCAGGTGACCCTGGTGAACCAGGAAAAATAGATGATTCATGCCCTGCAATCCCAGGGCCTCCTGGGGAAGCAGGGCAAAGAGGAGACGATGGCTCTGTAGGATTACCAGGGCCCACAGGCCACCCTGGACCCCAAGGTAAGCTTGTGTTTTGAAAGCTTGGGTATCTGTTTTAGCCATTTAGACAACCAATTGAAAAGGCTCAGAGTGTCAGTGTTACTCCTCTATGTTCTACTGTGTCTCTTCCCCTTAAACAGTCTCCAGAAACAGTAGTGGGCTGGTTAATGCTGAGGATGATGGATCAATATAGCTGAACCAGGCTGCTTGAGCCTGCCTGCACTGCATCCCCTTTTCCTAGGCCAGGAAGGGCAAAAGCATCAGGCACTGTTGAGAAAAGAGTTCTTCAAATGGTGTTTTTCCTTTTTACCAACAAATGAAAAAGCAATGCCTCAAACCACTCCTATCATTTGGACAGGTTATATTTGGAGGATGCTAAAAATATACATGCTTTAAAATTTGGCAATAATGAATCACAAAGTTCTGCTAACCAAAGTCCTAAAAGGACACTGAAGTCAGAGAGCTAGCTACAATGGCACTTTTTATCTGTTAGAACACGAAAAAGTTACCACAAAAGAAAACCGACCAAAGAGATCTTAAAAAGAGGTGGTGAAAGACTGAAACATTCTTCTGATAGATAAAAAGAAAACAAGGGTGATGCTGACACTGATGATTCTTACAGAGTGGCCATCTTCATAGAAATATAGCATAGCGTGTCTATGTAGTGTCTTCAGTTTAGGTTGTGTCTAAATGTGGTGTCTTCAGTTTAGGTAGTGGAATCCCTCACGTGATTTTAGATATTTCGTACTTGGGAAATCAAAGTTTGCTGCAATGACTGCACTGGACATCCAATGTCTGCAGAGAGAAGATGCATGCATTTCTCCTAGGAGATTCCCTGCAGTAGTCATTCCCTTCATGAAAGTGAACACAAGGCAATTTTCAGCGAACTATCTAGTTTTACATATCTTAATTAATTTACCAACTAAAAGGTGTTTCTGAGGTTGAATTGCTGTGTTTCCATTATATACGTCATTAAAACAGTTTCTGTAAAACCAGATGATACAATGATACATACTCTCACTGGTTTTATGAAAGAAACGCTTACTAATGCTTTTCCTTTCATTAAGATAGCAGGATTCCAATTTTCTCCCAGCTTGGAAGGCAAACTGGGGGTTTTACTGGCAAAAGAATGCATATTACTAAAACTTCAGCGTACTTGAGCTTTAGCAAAATAACTATGCAACCAACACTGGAAAGCTGTTAAATTGTTTTGACTAGTTTAAATTTTCTCAATGAATCTAATAAAAAGTAACATAGGGAAATTTTGAATGTTGCGAGACAGCCTTGAGTTACTCAGTCTGCAGGTTAAATAGCAAAATTTGCAAGGAATGAAACACACACCACTAATGAGAAACAACCGTGGTGCTAGAGAAACATACTCATCTGAGTACCACTACCAGTGCTCATCTTTTACCAAAAGAGGAAGAACACTGCTGAGTGCAGTAATACCTGACAAGTGTAACTTCATTCAATTCAGATTGTGTTTAAAGCAGCCAGTGAACAGGACCATCACTATCTGTGCCCTGCATATGAGACCCATCTTTTACGGTCACACTGTAACAAGGCCACACCTTGTTATCTGCTAATGTATAAAAATGCATGTATATATGAAAAATATAAAAAGGCGAGGCCATCAGGAGTCTAAAAATGTCTTTACCCTTCCCCACTGGATGTAGTCCAATCCTGCAGTCCCTCCCTGTTCTGTAAGCACTCCAATATATGCATTACTTCACAGGAAGTTCAGTACATGTTTAAAGGCTTTGCCGAATTGGGTTCTAAAAGCTGAAGGCCTGCCACAGGATGAGTTATAACTCATTACACGGTACAGATACTGATGGCAATTCTGCAAGAGGCTTGTCATGATAATGGTTGTTAGTGCTTTGATTTCAACTGTAAATCACACAAGTTCTGTAGAGAGGACATAAAACCTTATCAGCAGACTAAAGTCGTGCTTCTGAGCTACTGCCGTGGTCACAAGGTGAATAAGTTGTGAAGAGAATTCCCAGCAGAGAGCAGTTCTGCACCTCTCTGTCAGTTCTGCTGACTGGCCCTTTGCATGCTGTGTATGTTTGGAAAATGTATAACTTTTAAATGCAGCCATATGAAGGGAAAGTGCATACTTTGTATTTATCTAGGAAGAAAAGGTGAAGAAGGGTCACGTGGCCTGCCAGGTCAAGATGGTTTACCTGGGGCACCTGGACCGCCAGGTGACCAGGGGAATAGAGGAGAGCAAGGATATGCCGGGCCACAAGGTAAGAACGGAACATGACTTTTGGGTGAGAGACGTGTGAGATGATGCACAGCCTAACTTTTCTCTCTACTCCCCCAATTCACACATGGATACATCCACCTCTAGCCTGAGATACCACACCACTTCTTTCCCCCTCTCAGTTCAAGCACTGATAGTGACATTTGTGAATCATTTCATAACACATAAAAAGACCTATCGGAAAAAAATTTATCGCAGCATCCATTATTAACCAGAAAGGCAATTAACCACACATGCTTAAACACCATATATCAATAGGTATGCATTTCTGAGTCAGGGCTAATGGTGCAACTGTCTGTGAGTAATTAAAATTGTATTTTAACTGTGACTGCTGTTTAATAAATTAATGGTTTAATACATATGTGAGGAAAGGGCATCGACTGTTACTGCAGAGATTGAAATTCAGTCCAGACAAGCCATCCCAGTGAGTAAGTCTGAGAAATCATTGCCCACCTCAGTTCATTTCTTAATCCATACAGCACAGGACCGAGGCACAACAGAAAAGCCAACTGTCAAGCATTCAGTGGCAATCTAGTTCATTTCTCTCCCATAAGAAGGATAACATGAGTCCACTGCTGTCTTTATTGCCCGTGACAACCTGTGAAGTTGTATTATATTCAGTCAGGAACCCCTCGCCAAACACTTAAATATAGTAAAAAATAGAAGTTCACACTAGCTATGTGTTCATACAAGTAAATTTATTTTACCTTTTCTCCTACGTATAAGGTCCACCTGGCCAGACCGGTATCCCAGGACCACCAGGCCCCCATGTTAGATCTGCAAGTGGATTCTTGCTCGTCCTTCACAGTCAGTCGGACAGAGAACCACTCTGTCCACAAGGGATGCCAAAATTATGGACTGGCTATAGTCTGCTCTACCTGGAAGGACAAGAGAAAGCTCATAATCAAGATCTTGGTATGTGTTGTAGTACATCATTGCTCTCCAGTTAAGGTCTGATATGGTGTGATCTGTACAATGAAAGGCAAGTTAAATGGAGCACACTAGAGAATCATCAATTATTTATTTTCTACAGACTCAAAACTAATTTACACCAATTATAATGAATTTGGTTACGCTGCCCTATTATGTGACCTATTTAAAACGGCTTTCTGCTGCTGCGCAGTTGAATGAAAAAAGTATTTCTACCTCTAAGTAATTTTTAATAGCAGTCGGAGAGGTGAGTGGTTTATTTCACTCATCCTGACTAGTCATTTTAGGCTGTCTTTGAACTCACTGGAGAGATTTTCCTAGATCAGGAATCTCATTTGGCCACTCTCAAATAACTCCATGGAGGATCTGCTCCTTTTTACTGTTGAGACAGCTTGGGAAAAAGAGCTGGTTAAGTTCAGTGGTTACAGTTGGATAGTGTACATAAGCTTTACAAATAAAACGATGCATCTTGTGTCCACCAGAATTGTGTGCTTTTAAGAGTCAGAAGCTAGCATTTTTTTGGAAAAGACAGAGCCAAATTTCTCCCAAAGACAGCTCCTTTTGGTGTCTTGGGTCATTTTTCTACAATTCTGACTAAAATTAGCTGTCTAAATAAACTGCCTGACTTGCAGCCTGAGAAACTGATTGGCAGCCATTTGCACAGAAGTAGTTTCCTAAATTCTTGTTGACTTGTTATACAAGAGGCATAGAAGTCTCCTAGGAGGAAAGATCAAGGACCTAATAAGCTGGACAAAAAAAGAAGTGTTTAAAAGAGCAATAAAAAGAGATATTTTTAGTACAGCAGTGCTGTTTTGAAATGTTTTCACTATTGTGTGCTTGGCATTCCCCAGGAGAGCCAGTTGGTAACAGAATGCCTTATAACAGCAGTGAAAATAAGATTCAAAGAAAATAAAGTCCTTGTTTCCTGTGACCAGTGTGTTCTTTTTGCAGGCATTTTCCCTACTCAGGCTACTCCAGATGCTTTATTAGTACTGGAATGGAATATTATCAGTGATAAACAAAACTGGCTTCTGTACAGAAATGTCGTATGTCTTTAGAGGCGGTATTAGGGTTTTGGGGCATTAAAGACATAATACATCACACACAAAGTTCAAGGCGGAACATACATGCAGTGATTATTATTGTTAACTAAATAGGTCATCATGAAACTGTTCTAAATTCAGTTCTGGAAGAAGAACTTCACCGCTGAAGTATGCACTAGGCACTTCTTGATTCCCACTGATGTCTGCCTGATGAGAACAGCTGCTGAGATTTCAGCTCAATGCACTGGTAGCAACGGCTTGTCGTACTTTACAAAAATTTTCTATTTATCCGCATTGGCATTTGGTTTCTCACTGCTCCTAATGAGTTTGTAAATAGCTGATCTTCTTTTAAACCAGCCACCACCTCGTGTCTAATTTATTTTTCAGCGTTGGCACAGCTAAGAAATTTGTTATCATAACTGTTTCCCATGGTGACAAACCATATCATCTTTAAAGACTGGATTGTGACCCAATTAGATATTATTGGTCAGAGGAAGATACTTATTGGTAAAAAAAAAATCTTTCAATTTTCAATATAACTAGCGATTTTGGTAAAGAGCCCGGGAGGTTTAAGATCTGTGAATAATGTAACTCCTGTTAAGATATATAGTTTTGCGGCAACATTGGCCAGAATACTATTTTCAGCTTACCTAGCAAGAAGTGGAGTAATTTTCATCATTTGTTATTATTTTCAGGTCTGGCAGGATCTTGTCTTCCTGTGTTTAATACCATGCCCTTTGCTTACTGTAATATCAACCAAGTTTGTTACTATGCCAGTCGAAATGATAAGTCTTACTGGTTGTCAAGTGCTGCTCCTTTACCAATGATGCCACTCTCTGAAGAAGAAATACAGCCATACATAAGCAGATGTGCTGTATGCGAGGCCCCGGCCCAAGCGGTAGCAGTTCACAGCCAAGATCAGTCAATTCCTCCCTGCCCAGTGAACTGGAGGAGTCTTTGGATAGGATATTCTTTTTTGATGGTAAGAGTCTGGGCACGTGATCATTTATAGAAGTTTCTTTCATACAGCTCTTGCATTCCAGAGGTTCAAAGATTTTTAGCTCTGAAAAGTAAACTATCCAATGTCTAGCAAACATTAAAAAGGAAGATTCACAAAAAGAAACAAGACGAGGGCGAGTTCCAAATTGCAGAACTCGGCTGTAGCTGTATACACTAAAGTCATAGCCTTAAGCTACACATCTCTTAAAATTACAAAGATTTTGCTTGCTTGTCTTTAATAAACTATGGGATTTTCGTGTACAAAGACACACTTTTCAGAATTAGAGGCCCAGGTCTTTTTAATGCCATCCTCTAGTTACACTTGGAGAAGTTTAGATAACAGCATTGTCTATAATCAACCTGGAGTACTCTTCAGTTTGATAAATACCAGAAAAATAAGTCAGCTGGCTCTAGACATTTGAGATTAACTCATTACAGAGCAAATTAAGATTTTCCCCAGCAAAGGAAGCTTACTCTGACTTAAGATCACCAAAAATAGCACAGTTAAAAGCAAATAAAGTCAAAAAAAGACAGATCAACATAATTTTTTCATGCACAGTTATCAAGTTCTTTCATTGTTCTTTCCAGCACACTGGATCTGGTGATCAGGGTGGTGGACAGTCCCTTATGTCACCTGGAAGTTGCCTAGAAGACTTCAGATCAGCACCATTCATCGAATGCCAGGGCCAGCGGGGAACGTGTCAATTTTTTGCTAATGAATACAGTTTCTGGCTAACAACCGTGATGCCCGAATTGCAGTTTGCGTCAGCCCCCCTGTCAGGAACTCTTAAAGAAGGACGAGAGCAGAGGAAAAAAATCAGTAGATGCCAGGTATGCATGAAGCATGGCTAACAAGCGAAACAAGAACGAACAGCTACAGTGAGGCTTGCGTAAGGATGAACAACGTGCTAAAGGTTTAAACAGTATTTAATATTTGAATATATTTGAAAGCATGCAGCACTGTTCTTTTTGTTTGAATGGATTATAAGACTGAAAGACGAAAGATCTGTTGAGCCTCATCCACCCATGTACACACATCTACAGGTAGTAAAATCTAGTGTAAACAACTTAATTCAAAAAAATGAAACTCTGTCACATTGGAGTCCACTGTCATAATATACAGGTACCAAGGTGAGCTAGGAGGGTTGAATCAAGGCGGGAATACCAAGGAAACCATACTGGTTGTGAAAGACAATGGATTTCCTACCAGAAATGGCATTTACAACAGGAAGAGTATGTGCGTTTATATGGCATATTATAAATATTTATCTTTACAGATACAGATGTGCAAACATACCAATGTCTTAAAGCCCTATAGCTGAATTTCCCAAGCTACAGAAACTTGCACATGCTGTTTCCAAGGGAAGGGGAAAATGTAATTGTTAAAAAAACCCCTCATAATAAAAACAATGAGGATCAAAGTCTTTTACCATTGCAGTACTGAATCAAACTGCAAAAGAACCATTAACTGGGCTTTTATAAGCAACAAAAAGTTGCAGATCCATTTAACAGCAGATTATGTAAGAAAATAAAATTAGCTGAGATGACGAATCCTTAAAAAGCTATATTTATATTCGCAATTAATTTCTAAGAGCAGTTAATTATTAAGCTCCAATCCAAGTAGCTGAAGAAACAAAGCAGTTTCTAATATTAATTGAAAAGAAACAGTAGCATGGCGATAAAATGGGTGAACTTATCTGAGTGATGAATATAAGAAGTGTTAGGACAATTGTCTAGACTGGAAGCTAATAAATTTTGTTCATTTTTTGCTTCTTTTTTTGTAAATACACCACCAAAAAAAGAACCACCACCTTTAAGGTCCTTATGGAATCATAGCTCTAGAGATGCTTTTTATTTTTTAAAGCATTGATTGTCAAAATGTTTATAAGCCAAAGCACTAATCACCTTTTGAAAAAGTTAACACACATTTATACCTCCATTCATTCAGCTATAAAACCAGAACTATTAAACACATATTTGAATCGTGGTGAAACTACTGAAAACACAGATTACAAATGGAGAGTTCATCATGCGCGGAAGGGCCACAAATGCTCCTTTTACCACTTAAATAAGCTACGTTTTACTAGAATGGAATAAAATGTTTTTTCCAGCACTTTTCCTTTCAATTTGTGTTCACTAAGAGAGGTGCCCCCAGCAAACGGATTTTCAGGGAAACCGAGATCCACGTCCAAGAGTCCTAATTCAAAGAAAACTCCCCCTGAAACCACCACAACAGGCTGATCAGCCAATTTAAAAGTTGGATACACAAACTCAAAGAGCAGGAAAGACAGACATTCCAGTCTCAGCCAGAGGAAAATAAAATAGTCAGAGGGTAAATCCACTCAAGTGTAAATACATCAGACTGTGCAACTTCCTTCTGACAAAACCAGCCAGACCTCTCTGATCTGCTGTGCTTACGGCCAACTAGCTCTGCTGCTCTTTCCCCTGGGGAAGGGGCGGGAGCCCTGCTGGGACGCGTCCCGCTCCCCACCTGTCTGGGGGAACGTTTCCCCTTTGGTCCTTGCAGGCCACCGGGACAGGGCACACCTCTCGGTTCACTCTTCAGCAATCCCAGCTGCACGCTGCAGGTCTGGCACGCCACGCAGTCTTTTGAGGAGGGGCTAATCCCTACCGTTGAACTGTATGAAAGAATTTAATCCCCTCTTGCTTCAGGCAGCATCCCACACGCAGGCGAGACTGGCTTTCTGGTTTGAAGTAAAAACCAACGTCTCGAATCCGCAAGGTGCTCAGCAGCTTCGGAGCTTACTCCTGCGAGAAGAAAGCGGCCTGTCGAGAGGAGCACCATGCCTTAGCCACCTGTTCTTTAAGGTGTGCAAACTGTATTTCCAAAAAGGCCACAGCTAAAACCACAACGGGCTGGCAGCTTCAGCTGATGTTCACAGTAGCAGACAAATACCCCACTTCCTCAGGGGATGGCCCCATTTCCTCAGTGGATTTAGGTAATTCCACATTCAGGTCTCATTTATGAGCCTTTCCTGACAGTACTCACCGGCAGCTCAGCCTCTTTTCAGGTTAGAAACTCCCCGGAGAAGCTTTGCTGGAAATATTTACAGTGGGGCTTTTGGTACTAACTGCACTTAGGTAAACAATAAAGAAAACCTTCTACACTATGTTATCGCAAGCTTTGTCATAATAAGACAAGTTGAAGACAAGTAAGATGGAATAAAATGGAATTTTGGAACTGGATCTGTGTTCACCTAACTTGAACGATCACACAGAGAAACCTTAAAAAGCCATTTCCTGGCATTTTACCATCTTGCTCTTTTGTTTGATTTAAAAGCATCATGTAAACCAGTCATGTTTTTCTGTTATTTTGATGCAGAGTTTTTGCACTTGTGCCAGTTACATTTTACTATGTTCTTCAAGAACAGGTTATATAGAAGATGTATTTTTAAGCTACCATTGATAGGTTAAATATTTAATAGGTGTGTAAATTCCTGCTTTATGCTTAGCTGACTCTGTAAGGCATTTGTCAGGAATATTGTACCAATTCAAAATGAAATTGCAGATAAATTGCTTAATATTACAAAGCAAATAAGACAGACCAAAGTATAAAGCAGCATATGCTTTAATTCTGCATTCATTTGTCCAGTGACTATAAGCAGAAAAATAATTGGTTAATTATTCATAGGGGACCTAATTATGAAATTATGCGTGAAAAGGAATAGCTGGAACTGTTCATGAGTAAAAACACTCCTAAAGGCAGTGGCCTTGTGCTAGTCCTTATAGTCCAAATTACCCTTACTATTGCATTCAAGAGCTTTGGATCTTGTGTAGGCCCAGCACAGAAGTGAATTTTATCCTGAACAGCAGGCGGGATATTAATAGCAACACAGAAAATTATACTGGCTACGCTCGGAGGTCATTGGCATTAGAGCCATTTGGGGTGAGCTGCCCAGGAATTAAATGCAGAACCCGTGATTTACAATGAGGAGACTTGCTCGCCCATCACCCTAGCAAGCCGCGGCATCCGTGTGGCTAGGAAGCAGGGAAGGTGCCTGGTGCGAGCTCCTGGCAAACCCTCAGGGCAGCTGTCAGATTCTCCTCTCTCCGTCACATCCCTCCGCATCAGGATTTTTGGAAGATGACTCGTGGAAGACAAATACTGCACAGCCTGAGCCCTGACCTGCTGTCAAGAAATGTGGCCAGTTTTGCTTCGTTTGCTGTTTTTCATAAGACAGGGAAAAAAAACACAGGCCTAATACTGAAAATGTCTTTGGAACTGAATTTCATCTTTTGCTGTATACACAGCATGTCAAAAGGGAGAGACTAAAGCAAAACTGGAAACGGGTATCACTCATTTTATCACAATGGTGCTGTATTGTAAAAATGATATTTTTAAAGTGTACTTTAAATTCATTTGTGTACAGTAGAATTTCCAGATTTGAAGTCCACAATTCACATGCTAAAAACAGGTATCAGAATGAGGTAACAGAAAAGATGCTTAAACTCCAAACAGAGAAGGTGTTTAGCTGGGGCCTGTGAGCAGACCCAAACTTGCAAGTTACTACGCAAGAGGGGCACCTGCCGCAGGCCAGACCTGCCGCTCCAAGTCCCCTGCTTGTCGTGCGCCGTCACATCGGCAACATCACGTGCGGGGAGCTGCTGAACTCCCGTGGTGAGCTGGCCCTGGCTGGCAGCCAAGCACCTGCCCAGCTGCGTCCCCCGCCCCAGGCAGGACAGGAGAGAAAACAGGAGGAAAAAGAGCAAGAAAACTTGTGGGTCACAATACAGACAGGAAAAGCACTTACCAAGTACTGCTGTGGGCTGAACAGACTCAACTCAGGGAATTTAACTTAATTTATTGCCAATTAGCATAAATATTTAATTACTGATTCAGGTTTTGGGAAACAAGTTGACAAACCTTCAAACACCGGTCCTCCCACTGGCCCAGGCTCAGCGTCACCCCAGACTCCTCTCCGCCCCCTTGTTATTGCCGCAGGTTACCCTCGGTCCCTTCGGTGAGGCAAGAGGTGGTGTGGAGCTTCGGGGACCAGGGGTGGGTTCCAGGTACAAAGCAGTTTCTCTGTGCTGCGCCTTCCTTCTTGCTCTTTTCCTGTGCTCTGGCATTGCTCCTCCATGGGCTGCAGTCCTTTTGAGTACCTGCCCTGGCACGGGTCCTCCAAGGGCTGCCGTCCCTTCAGGGGCGTGCCTGTTCTGCCTTGGAGCACCTCCGCCTCCTCCTAACCTTGGATTCCTCAGATCAGAAAACGGCTTAAAGACTCATTCCCAGAACCGCATTATTATGTGCAACACGTTTAAGCAAAACTGTTCCAGGAATTCTTCCAGGGTAAACTCCTAGCCAAACAACTCTCTCCTACTTTGGCTGGTTCATAAGCACCAGAGGAACAAACAAAAACAGTATCAAAAGAGTCAAAAGCCATAGAATTCTTACAGTCCGCACATTTTTTGCCTGTGTTTAAGGCAAATTAAACAAACCTTTTATCCATCAACCCAAGTTGTTGTTTACTTGTTTGAAAAAGATCCACCTAAAGTTTTAAAGCACCCCATGGAGGAAAAACTAAACTTGATCTGCATGGGGCCTTCTGCTCCCGGTACACAGCTGAAGACTGCCAGTCCCCAATGAGCGTGCAAGCTCCCTAGCACAGCAGGCGAGACCACAGCATCAGCCCTCATCAGTTCCCTACGGACTACCATGATCCAAATTCAGGAAATAAACCGTATCCAGCAGGGAACGAACTTTCTGTTGTTCCACGTGGACCGCTGTAAATAACATCACTTGACACTGGCATCCCAGACTGAAGCCTGGCCTTTTCAGGTCTTACAAGCAATCCTTCAATAACTTAATTGAATTCAACCATGCCATATAT